AGAAAGTCCAAACCTGTGCTTAGGTGAGGTAATTAGGAAAGAGATTTGCGGTTAAGTGGGATTTAAAAGCATATGGTTCAAAATAAGATTTTCAATTAAATTACACAGATGAGTTGTCTATAATAATTAAATATCAAACTCGTTATGTAAGTAAGTCGAACCTAAAATTTTCATTTATAATTAGAGATAAATATTATTAACAGGGGTTGGAAAATGACAAGGAACTTGGTCTTTAAATTTTCTTTATTTTTCTGCTAGCTACTTGGCCTCCAATTACAATGATGTGCACCTTACATGAATGAAGACTATTGCTACTGCGAGACCATTATTAGGCCGATTTATATTGAATTAAATATCATACTCTTCTTCAAAATCTAAACAGGGCACAGAAAGAAATTGATTTTTGGTGCTCTAAAGAATTGATTTTGAACTTTAAGTTTTTATCTTCCTTCTTCTCTATTTACTTCTTAAATTTTTCAGTTAGAATCACTGAAAAATGTGGACCATACCATGTAACCGATGATAACATCGTATAAAGACAATGATAAACAATAGGTCACTCGAGATTTCGCCTGTAAAAAAGTGTCATACTTCATTGTCATTGTCAAAATGATGGAAACGAGAATTACACATGGGGCTGGTTTCGGTTTGGTAGCCAAACCAAAAATCAGTTACCAAAAACCGAAATCAAATTATTAGAAATAAGAAATAAAAACCGAAATCCAAAATTTTTGGTTTATCAAATATTCGTAAAACCAAAATTGAAGTTGCAGGGAGAAGCTTGTATGGCGTTAGAGTGATGTGGTGTGGGCGGAGAAGTTGCAAACTAAGTCGAGATAGGGAGAGAGTGCATCGGAGTTGAGAAAAATGGAAGTGACAGTATGAAACTAAGTAAAGACCTTAGACAGAGTTGATTTAAAATGGAGGGCTGAGATTCAATCTCTATGAAATCAATCAGGTAATATTAATTTATTTAATAAATAAATAAAAAACCATTGGTGGTTTGATTCGATTTTACCGAACAAAACCTTCATAAAAATCGAAAATTTCGATTACCGAAGGGTTCAAGATTATTAGGTTCGATTTTTTTTTTGTCGAACTAGATCTTTTTGGGTATTTTGTCCAAGGAAACTGTTATAACACTTCAAAATTTTCATATTACACTCTTTGTAAGTATATTTTTCTATCTAAAATTTAAAATACAAAATAAATTCTTAAAGTGATAATAACAAATCTCATTTACAATCCTGATTACACATATAAAGGTAAACTTATTCAACATTGACATTTTTTTTTGGGTAAATTACATAGTAGTCCATCAGGCTTGAGGTCTATTTGCAATCTTATACAACATCTTTAAAACATTTCACTTTCATACCTCAAATACTATTTTATTTCAATTTCATACAACCGTTACATTTTTCATCCATGGATCTGTTAAATGCTGACGTGGCTGCCACATATATGCCATGTGGCTGCCAAATGTCTGCCACGTGGCAAATAAAATAAATTTTTTTTTTTAAAAAACCTGAAATTGGAAAAAAAAAAAAAAAAAAAAAAAAAAAAGGGACCGAACCCTTGCAACCCAGAAGAAGAAGGAGGAAGAAGAAGAAGAGAAGAAGAAAGAAGAGGAGGAGGAAGAAGAAGAAGAAGAAGAAAAAAAAAAGAAAAAAGAAAGGGACCGAACCTAGAAGAGAAGAAGAAAGAGGAGGAGGAGGAGGAAGGAGAAAAAGAAGAAGAAAAAAAGAAAAAAGAAAGGGACCGAACCAAGAAGAAAGAGGAGGAGGAAGAGGAAGAAGAAGAAGAAGAAGAAAAAAAAAAAAAAAGAATGATCGAACCCCTGCAACCTAGAAGAAGGAGGAAGAAGAAGAAAAAAAGGAGGAGGACGAGAAGGAGGAAGAAGAAGAAGAAGAAGAAAAAAATAAAGGATCGATCCCAGAAAGAGAAGAAGAAAGAAAGAAAAAAAAAAGTGGCAGACAGGTTTTTTTTAAAAAAATTAAAAAATTATTTTATTTGCCACGTGGCAGACATTTGACAGTCACGTGACATATATGTGGCAGCCACGTCAGTATTTAACAAATTCATGGATGGAGAATGTAACGGTTGTATGAAATTGAAATAAAATAGTACTTGAGGTATGAAAGTGAAATGTTTTAAAGATGTTGTATAAGATTGTAATAGATCTCAAACCTGAGGAGCTACTATGTAATTTACTTTTTATTTTTATTTTTATTTTTACCTTTCTTTCATAAACAAATCAATTGATTAGACTATCTCTACCCCCAACAAATTCTTGAGAAGTGGTCCCGAATTCCATAATTTTAAATGATAAATAACTAAATAAGTTGGTTTTATTGATAATGAATCTGTTATTTTCTCAGCTTTACTGGAAGGCCCACCATCCGCTGTCAGTGCATCACTCTTTGGGTCCCAACTTTCCAAAACAAGGTTTTGTGCCCTTTGTCTTCCCAATAGTAGACAGCACCCAGGGAGAAATATAAAGGGTGCACAGATAAATAAGAACAGAATAATGCTTTTTCTTGTAAAAAGACTCACCCTTTAGACTTTAACCCTAATGCTTTAATTATTAATTAAAGCAAAGCTAAGAGACACCTAAGATCAAATTAATAGTGAATTAGTGATGGTCCTCCATTGTTGACTAGTATAATTGTCATTTAGGTCTAGCATTAATGGATACTTTATGCAGTAACTTCATTCAATCTATTAAACTGCTTTTAGTATTCATAAATGTTAAGGAGACTCTTCTAAAAAATACACTTTTTATGGACTTTTCATCATCCTATGTTTTTAGCACAATTACGTGCTAATATCATAAAATATTATGCTAAAAACATAAGATGACGGAGAATTCATGAAAATCTCACTTTGAGATAATCTCTTTAGCATTCATTTGTGGTATTATTATAGGTGGTTTTGGGGTGTAGAGGTATTTGGTATCCACATATTTGAATGTTTGCCCATTATCCAAACAGTCACTCTCACTGCATTTATAAGTGTTTCCTCTTGATCGATAAGAGAAACCTACAAAGAAATGTGACATTAACAACCATAGACAATGATTCGTATCTTAAGTAATTAAGAGTGTTTATCTCTACGTTTAAGATTTTGTGTTTGAATCTGACAAAAGAAAAAAAATTACATGAAACCTTAGACACCCACAATGAGTTGAGAAAAATTATCCTTGTCTATTAGCTGAAAAATGGAAATTCAAACTTTGAGACCTTCTATAACACTAAAGGAGAAAGATTAATTCATAAAGAGCTAGTTACAAAGAATTTACTTAATTACAACTGGTCTGGTGATAATTGTCTTTAGTTACTTAGAAGAAGTATTATATTCGATTCACATGAATGTAAATATAATATCTTCTATGATGAATATGATCTTTAGTATTGACGTAACTTTGTCGTGTATTCGTAAGTTTTTTAGTTGTAAACTATTTTGAAAATAACTTCTAGTTGGTCAAAATGAAAAATATTATTTGATTGAAAATTTTCTTTTTTTTTTAAAGAAAAATGGTTCCCACTTTAGAGGCTTATGTTGCTAATAAAAATAAATTAAGAAAAGCATATGTGACATCACAAGAACTAGCACTATTACCTGCATGATTTTGCTGTATACACAACTAAAATCCCAATTTTCCTCATTGTCCAAGTTAAAAAGTCCGACAAGCCAAAGTTTAATATTATCATTAACCATCATACCAAGACCAAAAAGTTGAAAATACCATCATACTTGCTAGGAACATGTATCATATCCAACCTTTTCATCATACCATACCACCACACTTATTTTAATTATCTTCATTAATCAATTTTTTTCTTCTTCTAAACTTTATCATGTCACACAAATGAGCATGAAAGCAAACGATAATCTTTGTAATTAGAGAAACACAAAGAACCCTACATGAAATTTTAGAATATGATTCTCTATCTCAACCCTACTTTATTGCAAATTAAGAGCAAATTAAAACAATCAATTTTATGACAAACCAATGTTTTATCTTCGGATTATTCTTAAAATGGATTACGAAGTTTCAGTTTATTATATTGCATCACAAAGTATTAAAATTAGATTAATTTATACATTTTATCTATGGACTGACTACAATACTTACATGTGAATTTAATACAATCATCATCTGACGGATTTATATAATTCACCTGATATATGTATTTAATACAATCACCTCCTGACCGTTGAGATGATGATTGTACTAAATACATATAAGTATTGTAGCCAAATTCTTCTATCTATTCAAACATCTAATCCTCAATTAAATTAATTTTTGTCAACATGGTATGAGTTTCATGCTCACCATGATATCACTGTAATAGGCTCAAATAGTCTATTAGACTGAAGACATAAATCAATACAAGTTCAATATCTTATTGTGTAATATAAAAAAAAATTGAACTTTCGTGAAAAATCATCTCAAACCTAAAGTGTGTGAAATTTGGTTAGCAATTAATTATCCAAACTACTTAGTTTATACACAAGTATATTCAAATTTGAGGGGATATAGTAATTTTTTGATGCACTTGAAAAACTGCTACATAATATTAGTATTCTAATTAAATCATAATATGTATATTTGTTTTTTTTTTTCTGTTTGTTTTTGCTCCTTAAAAAAGGAACCAGCTAGTAACTTCGCATTGATAGTCTATCATTCCAGGGATTGGGAAGACTCACAGAGACATTTCAGCCTCTTCTGGCCACCATCGTGCCCTAATGAAGTGTAAAGAATCAAACTCAAGACGTGTCATGTGGAATATCAGCATATAAAAAAAATTGTTTTCATTAATATATTATAAATGTACGACAAGTCAATTTTATGCTATGAAAAAATTTCAAACACAAACGAGAGAAAAAAAAAATGTCATGATGAATTGGCCTAAAGCAACCTGCAAAACCCAGAAAACAAATCAATTTTGTTTCTTTTGGTACAACACCAAAGACCCAACAGAGAGAAACAGATTCTTGAAAGATATGAATCATGTCTAAGAAAAACGGAGGGTGGGTGGTGAGAGTGCTTGGCGCACTAGCAGACATATGGGCCCCATCATCATCACTGTCTCCACCACCTCTTCAACCTAACACCTCCCTCCATCCCTCCTTCCCTCCCTCCTCCCCCCTCTCTCTCTCTCAAACCCCTTCCGTTTCTCTCTCTTTCTCTCTCTCTCTAAAACCCACACATTCTTCAACCCTCTTTCTCTTGATCAGTTTCATGGAAGGCACACTTGGGTTGCTTGGTGGTGGAGGTGGGTCTTCTGGGGTCTCATCAAACGAGTCGACAATGTCAAAGGCGGAGGTGGTGGCGGTGGAGCAAGACTATGTGGGGATGTCCTCTGAGGCAACCTCTTACCCGGCTGAGGCAGAGCTTGAGCTGGGCCTCAGCCTTGGTGGTGGTGGTGGAGGGAAGCTCGGCAAGCCGTGTGCATGGGGTGAGCGTGGTAGAATCTTGACTGCCAAGGACTTCCCTTCTACGGTGGTTTCTCACGGAGGCTCTTCAGCTGCGTCTAGGTTCTCTCACAGACCCAATGCATCTGCTGCTGTTGCTGTTTCTGGGACTAAGAGAGCAGCTGACTCTGTTCCCCAAGAGGGTGGCTCTCCCACTGCTGTAAGGTAAGAGAATATTCATACAAAGTAAGCTGTCCTCAGCATGCATTTTTACTCTACCTCGTGTTTGGTTGCTGAGCAAACTGAGGGAAAATGAGAAATTGAATTCCTGAGTCTATTTCGTGCATGATTTGTGTTCAGTCCAGTAAAACAGAAAAGTTTAGAAAAACCCAAGTAGTGGTTTATGTTATGCCCCCTTCTCAAAAGATTAAATAATTGTTCATGTAATTTCTGTTTCTTTTTATTTAACTTTTTTCTTGGCTAATGATTTATTATTATCAGTCTGATATTTGTTTTGATACTAAATTTTTCCTGTTTAAGTTGTGCGTATTAGTCATATTTCATACAGTTTTTAATCTACTAATGAGTATTCACTTTTTATCAAGTCCTAAATATTTATTTAATTTATTGTATACTTTTTTTTTGTTTTGTGAAAATTGTTATGTTTTTTTTTTTTTTTTTTACAAGCGATAGCGATAACGATAGCGGTTAAATGTTAAGGGGTGTGAGAAGGTGTGTGAGAAAATTTACGTCCGTTGATCTGACGGTCGAAAATTAAGAAGATGAGTGAGAAGGAAAATAGGATGCGTTGATATCACATCTCAAATGTTAAATGTTAGGTGAGAGAGGGATAGGTGGGGATTGAACCGCACCAGGGTGCATAGGCATAATCGCCACTATCGTAGATCGTAATACTATGTTGAATACTTGTACTTGAATGTATTGTAACGATGAGAAATAATAACATGAATACTCTGTTTCTCTGTTTTTGCAATTACCCTAATGTTGTTTTCGGATCATTGATTTTTGTATATTGTACTGTGAAAGCAGTCAGGTTGTGGGATGGCCACCTATAAGTGCTGCAAGGATGAACAGCTTGGTTAACCAAGCAAAGACTGCAAGGGCTGAAGATGACAAGGCAGTCGGGGAAAATCTAAGGACACATCGAAGAAGAAGATCAACATGGGTAGTAAGACAACTGCGAAAGAGAAAGGGCATCTTGGATTTGTTAAGGTGAACATGGATGGAATTCCTATTGGGAGGAAAGTGGATTTGAATGCTCACTCTTGCTACGAGACTTTGGCTCAAACACTCGAGGAAATGTTTATCAGCCCCACTACAATTATTGGTTAGTTCTGTTCCTTTGCCTTGAGAAAAATTGGATAGAGGACCTTATGTGTTGCTCAATCAATTACTTTGTATGCTTATGAGTTCCAATTTGTATGTTTAGTCAAATATAAAATGAAGATGATGCATCATGAATCCTTCTGTGGTACCTAACCATGGCCAGTTTGACTTGGCGATATGTTCCCTGTGGTTATGTTATGAAACAAAAAGATGAATGCTCGTCGTTCTGGTCCACCTTTGAATAGCATATGATATTGTGTATGACATTCATGTTGCGGTCATGCCAGGTGGAGACATGGAACAAGCGAAAAAACCCTCAAAGCTTCTGGATGAATCGTCTGAATTTGTGCTCACATATGAAGATAAAGAGGGAGATTGGATGCTTGTTGGAGATGTTCCTTGGGGGTATGCCGCTACTACCACCAAGTATTAGTATTGTTAAAAAGAAAAGTACGCGAGTATTAGTATTGTTAAAAAGAAAAGTAGGGTAAACTAACAACATAAAATATAGGGATTATGATTGCCTGGGAAACAATTTAGTTAGTCACTTATATAATTGATATTTTGCCTGAGTTCTTGTTAATAAGTATGTTTGCGATTTTTATGGTATTTCAGAATGTTCCTCAGCTCAGTGAAAAGGCTTCGTATCATGAGGACATCTGAGGCTAATGGTCTTGGTATGTAAATTTGAAGCCATTAAGATTACATTTTGATCTCCGAGTTTCATTTTTGCCGGTTCTGATACCGATTAATCATTCATTCGCAGCTCCAAGATTTCACGAAAGGAGCGAGAGACAAAGAAACAAACCCATCTAGAATACAAGTGCTGCTTCCCCTTTATTTTTACGTCTGGTCAGATGAATGAACCTACGGTTTGACAACAGAAGGAAGTAGAAATTCGACGAGACAAAAACTGCGAAGATCGGCTTCCGCTGGGATTTGCTTGCTAAAACCATTCTCTGGTTCTTGCTGGTTTTTATTTTTCTTTCTTGGGTAGGGGTTTTATAGGTTTTTACAGGCTCTTACGTAACGCTAGCATACAGGCCTGCATACTCGGCTACGTGCTGCTGCTGCTGCTGCTGCTGCTTTCTCATACTGTAAATATGGGAGCACTTCACTTCATATCTAAGAGAGTGTTGAGTTTTGCTGCAAAAGAAGCTTGTGTGGTTTTCTTTTTTATTAATTATTTATTTTGGTTGTTTTGCTTACTTAACATTTTTTCACTTTCTTTCTATTTACTGTACTTTTACCCCAAGCTTCAACTTGAAATTTTTTTTTTTTTTTTTAACAAACGATATTATCTACACGAATGTGATTTAAATTCGTTTTTAACAAGAATAGAATCTAAAACTTTTCGTTTACAAGTAAAGATAAATATTTTTAAGTGACAATTTTAACTTGAATTTTGAAACATGGTAAAAAACTCAATTACCTGCTTTACAACTGCAAACTGTTACTACTGGCATCAAAGGAGGGAACCCCAATCTTCTGATTGTCATAATTAATTTATGTATTTTTTATGGGGTGAGTACTGTCATACTCCTAACTGGTCTAGCCTTTGTAGTAGGCTGTAGTAATTGTACAAACTCTCTGATTTGGTCTTTAGACCTATGTTTGGAGGGACCAGTGCCCCTTCCGCAAGTCTTTTTCAAATCTTTGCAGGGCACTTCCTGACTCGGGCAATCTGTTGCTTGGGACACAATTCAATTCAGTTCCAAAAGAAAATGAAAACGATGAACAATAATACATAAAGTAAAAATCAAATATCTAATAACTGCACGGAAAATGAATGATTGAGAATGATACTAGAATATTTTATAGGTGTTAAAATTAAATTTAACAGTTAAAATATTCGTAGCATTAAAGCTGCATCCTAAATATGTTGAAAATCCAAAGTTACAATAAATTACCCAATTGAAGAAAGCTGAAACTGCAAATTATCAAAAAGTTTGGTTTTGTTTAGGTTAAGCCCCATTATCGATTCAAACCAGTGAAGTTGTTGCTGTAGCTGTACATAACCATTGGGGATGCTACCAACCTTTTCAATCTAAAATTTCATTTTACCTTTTCGTCTCTGCTTCTCATCCTACAATTTTACATAATTATAGGGAACTCTACTTTCCAGTTAACTCTTTAAAGATTAACTATAGAAAGAAAAAAGATCATTCAAATTAGAATTCATTTAACTAATCGATGAGCATTGTCAAAATTTTATTGTTTAACTAAAAAACATGACTTCTATATATTGGATAACGATTGGATGACTAAAGGAATTCGGATTTATTTGAATTTTTAATTGAGTTGATCTTTGCAAGGTGACCTAGAAAATAGACAACTCAAGTTATCATGCAACATTGCAAGATGAGAAAGAGAATCAAAGAGTTGAAATGAGAAAATTGCTAGCATCATTCTAACCATTTGCACTAGTCGGTCAATCAAAATTGTAACTTTTGTATTACTTAGAAACAAACCAAGTTTTTCTCCGTTTGCAGCAAATGCTCAATGAGTTGGACAGACTAGAGGGTAATATTATGCAATCATATTTCTTTTGACTGCAGATTACTAATTTATTACCCCAATCCCAATTGATGAACTGTGGGACTCTGGTGGTGGGTGCCCTTACCATAATTACCTTCTTTTAATTAATATGTGGGACCACTGTATCTTAATTATTTATGCTCACGGTGGCAGAAAAACACTTACAGCTCAAATTGGCTTATTTTTTCTCTGCCATTTTTAACTTCTTTTAAACAATTTGGCCTAGTAATTTAATGACTTGAGTCATCGTTAAAATCGCTTATTTTTATTATTTATTTATCTGTTTGGTCTGAATTGTAAAGTTATGCTTCAATTTTTCAGAGAGAAATAAAAAATAAAAAAAACATATTGAGCATGCATCCTTAAGAAAAAGGAGTTATAATTGCATTGGAACCCAACAGCTGTAAAAGAAGTGTTAACTGTTACTGTACTAATGGGTGGAATAAAAAATTTCACATCTCTGTGTCTAACCATGTGTATGCGAGCTTCATTCTGTAACATTTGGAAGAACCAAGATTCTCTCCTGAGCATTTCCCTAGGGATCCCGCAATTTTATCCGTTTATTTTATATCGTGCGGTCAGTTTTCGCTAGATACTATTCATATTTGAATTTTAAAATTTAAATTTTAAATGATTTCTGACCGCACGATACACGATGAACGGACATGATTGGGGGATCCCTAGGATCCCTAGGGAATGCTCAGGAGAGAATCCTGGTTCCATTTGGAATACCTCAAGGTACTTATACGTGTTACTACCTTTCAATTACTTCAATGCATTTCAAGAGAAAATCAGAATATAGAGACGCTATCTTGTTGAAAACATTGGCATTGTTATGAATATCCACACACACATTATCAATACCCTAGCAAATTGAAATAGACTTTGGAAACAAAATGATTGTTTTCAAAACATGCGATGTAAATTTCAAACTGTAAGAACCTGTTTGTATGAAGCCGCTCTATAAATAGAGCGCTCCGACTACAGTTAAAGGATATAGAGAATATACAGAGAAGATAGAAAAACTTCAGTATCTATTCCTTCCTCTTTTATTTGTCATCCTCTTGTGCTATAGTTTCAGTATGATATTTTACACCTACTTTACTCATGTCACTAGTAAAGGTTATCTATCTAACTTTTACATATTTATAACACATTATCAGCACAAGTCTCTAAAACCTAACCATTTACTCATTTCTTTTTGCCGAACGACAGAAAGAAAAAATGTTTCCACTAAGGATTTTACTGTTCATCTTCTTCCTCTGCCTCAACTGCGCGATATACCCTCGCGACGAACTGTTTGCTCTATGCCTGCTTTTAGTTCTCAACCTAATTCTCAACCTAACAATTACATACATACATCTTTGATTTCTTGTTTGGTGTATATCTTGATTACTAACTCAGTATTTATTTATGTTGATTTTACTGCAATCCAAGATGGTGCAGTACAATCGCCCATCTTGAACTGCAAATTTAATCTTACTGTAATCCAAGATGGTGCGGTATCATCACCTATCTTGGACTGCAGATCTAATTTTACTGCAAATTTTAAGTGGTGCAGTATAATCGCCAACCTTGCTATGCGTATTTAAATTTTCCTGCTACTGGAGTGGTGCGAAATAATTGCTCATCCTATGTTATATTATTTCAATGAGAATGATGCGGTACAATCGCCCTCCTCATTCATCTTGAAAATCTCGAGCCAGAAGTTTCGAGTGCTTATCATTTTAGTCCGAAGATCAAAATGAAAAATTTGTAAGAACTAGAAGTTCTAACACTACATACCTCCAGAATACATATTATTACAAGTTCTTACACATACCATTTTCTTTTAGAAAAGAAAATGGCGAACTTGGCAAATCTTAATTTTGCTGCCCTGGACATTAATGGGAAGAATTACCTTACCTGGGTATTGGATACCAAGATCCATCTGAAAGCAGGAAATCTTGGGGATACCATTAAGGAAGAAGCTATCTCATCCTCTCAAGATCGGGCGAAGGCCATGATCTTTATTTGTTGCCATCTTGACGAGGGACTAAAGAGTGAGTACTTAACGGTTGAAGATCGTTAGCCCTCTAGAAGGCATTGAGAAACAGATACAATCACCAGACAATGGTGATTCTTCCAAGGGTTAGCTATGAATGGACTTACCTAAGGATCCAGGATTTCAAGTCGATAGTTAAGTACAATTCTGCGTTGTTCAGAATTACCTCTCAGATGAAGCTTTGTGGGGATACCATTACTGAGGAAGATATGCTGGAAAAGACTTTCAACACATTTCATGCCTCTAACTTGCTCCTACAGCAACAGTATGGAGCACGAGGCTTCACTGAATACAACCAGCTAATATATGTGCTTTTGGTAGCGAATGTTGCTTCCCTCGAAGTGAATGTCACGTCCTCTGGTGGCGATAATCATAAACGAGGACGTGGCCACAAGCAAGGTCGGTGGAACAGGAAAGGTAAGAACCATGATGATCAGTTTTACAATCAGGTTCCAAGGTAAAATTTAGGCCCGAACTTTAAAAATGTGAATCGCTACAAAGACAAAACTCATATGAATAATGCTCCCAGGAATTCTGAAGGAGCCTGCCATAGGTGTGGTGGTCATGGGCATTAGGTGCGTACTTGTCGTACCCCAAAACATTTGGTAGATCTATATCAAGCCTCCCTCAATGAGAAGGGTGTTGAGACTAATTTTCTCGACCAGGCTAAACCAATAGATATACTTAATCCAGTGTGCGACTTATTAGGGCAGTTGAACACAACTCACCTAGATGTTTCGGACTTCATTGTGGAAAGGGGGAATGAAGTGTATCGGTCCGACTGAATCATGTATGTTTGATGTACTTTTATTATGTTGAACTTGTAGTTTAAAACTAGCATTTCAGATTCAATAAAAGTGGCATGTAAATTTCTTGTTATAACTTGCTTTTAACTCTGATTCCCTTACTCAGAAAGCATGGATAAAAACTATGGTTATTCTCAGAACATGAGAAATGGCAAAGATATTTGTCTTGCAGACAGCGCAACCACACATACAATACTTCGTGATGGAAAGTATTTCTTAAGCTTGATGCTTACAAGAGTAAGGGTAACAACAATATCAGGCAAATCAGATGTAATTGAAGGCTCAAGGAAAGCCCATATTATGTTACCAAATGGAACAATATTGTCCATACAAAATGCATTGTATGCTACTCGATCTACTCGAAATTTGTTGAGTTTCAAATACATACGTTTAAATGGATACCACATTGAAACGAAAAGTGCAGAAAATGTGGAGTATCTATGCATTACATCCAATGATACCCAGAAGCGTATATTGGAGAAGTTGCATGGTTTGTTGAGTGGATTGTATTATATATACATAAAGACAGTTGAATCACATACTGTCATGAACCAGAAGTTTATTGATTCAAAAGTTTACATACTTTGGCATAACCGTCTAGGTCATCCAGGATCTACCATGATGCATAGGACCATTACCAACTCTAATGGACATCCATTATTGAGTAGACACATTGCTATCTCAAATGATAACCCTTGCAAAGCTTGTTCTCAAGGGAAGTTGGTAATTAGATCATCACAACTAAAGGTTAATGCTGAATCCCCATGACTTCTGCAAAGAATTCAAGAGGATATTTGTGGGCTCAACCATTCTATAGACC